CATATATAAAATAGGAATACCAGTTTTGGCATCAACTTGGTAAGAACTTTGCACAATGTTATTTTTTTTTAAAAAAATGCTAAAAACTGTATTTCTTTCACTTCATCCATTCTTTGAACAGATTTTTTTGGACATTCAACTTGCAGAGCACCAGGTCTGTATAATCAAGAATATTTACGTGCTAGTTCTATTGTATTTGAACTAATCTAATCATAACAATTATAGTATTAAGATTTGAGAAAATTTTATTTTAGTTGAAATAGCTAATATATTTATTTCAAAAAAGTAAACAATCAATTTTATTTTTAAATAAGTTCAAATAATGCTTTTTATTATTAAACAAAAAGGTTTGAACTTTATGAAATTATATATTTAGTTCTAAAATATAATTTTTTTCTAAATTGCAAAAGTTATTATTATAATAAGAAATTAAGAAACGAATATGATAAATTCAGATATGTATCAAATATTTACAAATTGTTATTTTTATTTCAATTTGAAACTATTAGTTATTTACTAACTACTTTAGAATTTTCAATAGCTAATAGCTATATACGTTGACTAAACTTTCTTCTTATTTATTTATTTATTTATTTTTTCTTCAGTCATTATTATTTTTATTTTTATTATCTATTTATTTTTATTTCTTTTTTCTCCATTATTTGATTTTTTGACAAATAAACTAAGTCAGAAAATAATGTTTTGTCTGGATTTTTATGTAGTAAGAAATTTTGTTAGTAATCTTATTTTAGTTTTAAACCAACCTGAAGTTTTTTCTAAGTTGTTTATAAGTAAATTGATCTGCTATAATGGATAAAATTCATGTTTTTCTATTTTGACCATGTTTATTAACTATCAAAGCATTTTGAAAACTATTTCAGAATATGCTTTCTTCTAAATCTTCTGAGTTTTCTGCATTTTCTGAGCTTTCTGAATCTCTAGATTTCAATTGTAAGTACCTAAGTTCATATAACATTTTCAAATTAGCTTTGTCAGTAGTTGGATCTTTTAATCAACTCCAAAATTCTTCTTTATATTCAAATTTGGGATATAGTATTATATTAGTACATCCATATGAAGATAACATATTTCTTCAAGCTCAAAATTCATTCTTATTCAATTCATAAGTAGATGGGTATATTATAGAAAGTGCATAATTAAACTCAATTATTGTATTTTCTTGACTTATTCAAGTATTAAACAAATTTTGCCAGGTTTCTAATAGATTAGTTGCTATTTTTTGACATTTTATTTGTTGTTCAAATATATTTTCCATTATATAAGAATCATTCTAGTTTTTTGAAGTGCAAGTTATATAAGAATTAGCTAAATTTGTTTGAAATATATGTTGTACACTAGGGTGATTAAAACTATAAAGCGATTCACTATCAAGATATATTGCAATTCCAGCTTGAGCTTATACATTATTAGCTGACTGATCCTCATAATACCATAATATTTGTTTGCCTTTATAGAAATCTAAAGTAAAGACATTATGGTTTATTTTTTGTAAAGCGAGAGTTTTTTGGCTCTTTTTTGTTAACACTGATGATATAAATTTTTGATCTTTGATTTTTGATACCACTATAATATGTTTTTCTATATTTAAAAAAATAGACCTAAATACTATTCCGGCTAATAATTTTTTGACTACTTTTTCATCATTAAACCCGAGAATTACAGGTCCTGAATATACTGTTTTCTTTCCAAAAATAATATGATATACATTATTAACAGTCTGGAAAGGCGTTAAACAAACCTTACTTGTTTCATTACCACTAATACAAATAAAGCCAGGTTGCAATTTATTTTCTTCACCTTGAACTACTTTTATAAAAAATTGTTGTTAGTTAAGTACAATATTAATGTGCATATGAAGTCAATATAGAACAGAAACAGAAACATTGTTATTAGATGATCTGGATGATCACTAATCACAAGCATAGGGCCATAATGTAGTTTTGGACATATTTTGCTTTCCGCAAGTAAACTAACACTTTTATAAGTCATATTACTCATAGTTTATTATACATATAAGAATCAGTTTTGGCATTTACAATTATGAATTTTATTTTAATTAAATGCATGTTGCAATTTCTTATGTGATGTTGATTATTTTACCTTATTAGGTAATGAATTAGCAATCAAATACTTCTCTAATTAATTTTGACATAAAGTTTCATATTTAGAATTCTCTAAAGCAATAAATTTTCTATATTAAGAATTCTTTTGCACCTACATATGTATATATAATTTGCAGATAAGTAGCAGATTTGGTAATTTTCTTTACTTAGCCATTATCTGCTGAAGACTAATTTTAGTAATATCAAGAAAATCTAAACTTTGCCTAAATTAGCTATTTATTTAAATTTTTTTACTTTATTTAGATTATTCCTTCAATGCCAACTGAATCAATATAAAGAACATAATTGTGTAATTTAAACTATTTTGTAGAAGAAATTAGAAATGGCGTGAGGAATCATAAATAGAATATATATATCAATTACCATTATTGAATTACTTTTTAAAAGCTAACAGGTCAAAGTGAAAAACATAATCGTAGTTAAAATGATGCAAGCTAGAAAATTGTGTGATCATTGAAGATATAGAATTGCTTTTATAGATTATGCTCTTAAAACCAATGAGTAAACATGAGAAACATAATTTGAAAGGGCATATACTTTATTAGACTATATATCCAATAGTCAATTGATAATATGGGAGGAGTACAAGTTAGAAGTATTGTAAAAGAGAATCTATAGTAAAATCAAAGTGATCTGAGGGATTATAAAAAAAAAGTCAGGTAAAATATAAGATTTAAATAGTTGTATGAATGAATTGCATATGGGCAGTGTAATTTAGAACAGTAGTCCAGGAAATTATAAGAGTAAAATCATAAAATTTAGATTGTTAATAAAGTAAATCTTATAAAATTGAATAGGTGCAAGAATATATTTAAGCTGTGTTTTTTGCTTTTTAACAAAATCTTCAGAATTTGCTTTTTATAAAGAATTTTATTTGAATTGAATTTCGTTCTAATAAATTATACTTAAAATTGTTTAAATTTTTGTGATTGAAAGTTTTATGTATTTGTAATCATAAAATCTTTGGAAATTTCATATAATAGACTTCCAAGTCAATTTTCACATCATATTTAATAAATCAAATTTCTAATACAATATTTATTTTCTAAATTTTATTATAAAATATGTGTTTATAAATATATGCTTAAGAATAGATTCTTAAGATTCTAGCTCAAGTCTTCAAAGAAATATATATACTGATGAAAGCAACAGTGAAAATAATAATAATACATTCTTTATTACAAATATGACAACTAGTACTAAGAAAAAAAGAAACAAAAGTAAAACAAGCTTTGTGTAGAAATACTTCGATATAATTGGAGATAAAAACATTTGTAAAGTTATAGTAAAAAAAAAAGGTAAAGACAAAAAATGTGGAAGTGAATATATTTATAACGGTTCAATATCGAATATAATTGCTCATTTAAGATCATTGTATAATATTGTGGATAGCAAAAACTAAAATCTGAAATACAAATACCAAAAGGTTGACAAACTACATTATCAGCCCTGATTCGACTTAATATTCTATATAAAGATGATAAACTAAAAGAAATAAATAGAGCAGTTATTGAATAGATACTTCTTGATAATGAACCATTATTGGTACCAAGAAAAAAAGGATTTTGCCGAATAATGGTAAAATTGATCTAAAGTTTTGTCTACCTTCTGATAGAGTAGTAAAAAATGAAATAGCATTATACTATTTAAAAAATATTAAGATTTTTCAGCATGAAATATTATCAACTTGCAAGACAGCTATAATAACATCTGACTTATGGACTTCATGCAATAAACAAGGCTATATTGGAGTTACTTGTCACTAGGTAACTTCTGACTGATCATTGTATAGTATATTATTGTGCTGTGAAAAAATGCTATACCTGCATACTGCAGAATCTATATATCATTTTTTTTCAAAAAAATGCTTAGAATTCAATTTAGAAAATAAAATTACATGCACCATTACTGATAATGGTGCTGATATAGCAAAAGCTATTCGATTACAGAATAATATTACCTGGCTGCCATATGCTGTGCATACTTTGTAGCTAATAGTTAATTACACCCTACAAAAATTTGCTCACAAACAAAAAAATAAGAAAATTGGTACATTTTTTTGATTCATCAAAACAACAAGAAAGATTAAAAAAGGCTCAAATAAAGGTAATGGATAGAGATAATTTATCTTTGCCTAGTTTGGTAAATACTGAATTTTATTTTGAGAAGGAAGAAGCTGGCGAAGTTAACAATGGAGATACAGATTTAGAGCTATCAAATATAAATTCTACTTCTAAACCACTTTATCTAATTAAGAATTGTCCAACATGATAGAAATTCTACATATCGTTCTTGGGAAAGATTATTAAAATTAAAAAATGTAATAATCTGGTTAGAGGCTAATTTAAAAATTTCACAGAGTCCGGATGATAAAAAAGATGGACAAGCTTTAAATGATGCTTATTTGATAAAAATGAATGGAAACTAGTTGAAGAATTAGTTAAAATTTTTGAACTATTTGCAATAGCAACTGAAGCATTCAGTGCTGAAAAATATTCTATATTATCGGTTGTATATCCTATAATCAAAGTTCTAAAGTCTAAATTTAAAAAAAATCTAAATTTAACTCTAAATGAAGACGATTTTGATGAAGAATACTGTAATTAATATAATAAATTATTATTTTATATTCGCTACTACATTACTATAAAATATTATTATTTACCTTTTATAATCAAATATAGGTAGTAATAGTAGCAATAGTAAAAGTGAAGAGGTTCAGGGGTAAAAACTTGTGACGTTCAATTAATAATTGCTTAAGTTAAACAAACAATTTACAATTCACTTTGAAAATATTAGGGTGAACCAAGATATGCTAGTCTTTTAGCAACTCTACTAGACCCAAGGCTCAAAAAAATGCATGCTTTGTCTAATTATTTTAAAAATGAAGCAATTAGTGCATACTGTAAAAAACTTAATAATATTATTATCGATGTAACACCTGTATAATCCACCACTTCTTCTGGTATAACTTTAGCAAATCGTTATTTTGCATCAATATTTGATGATAAGGATGATGATAATCTATTGAACAATAATGAATTAGACAAATATTTGAATACTGATAAAGTACCTATTGCCCCACCAGGAGCTCAACCTTTGGTATAGTGGAAAGAATAAGAAAAGATCTTTCCAAAATTAAGTAAGTTAGCAAAAAAATACTTATCCATTCCAGCTACCTCCGTTCTAAATAAGCGCTTATTCTCTAATGCAGGAAATCAAGTAACACTTAAGCAATCTTGTCTCAATCCAGAAATTGTTTCTCAAATATTATTTCTAAAAAGAAATAGTAATTTAATTAATATTATATAAAAATTTAAAAATTTTTAGATATATTAAAACATTTGTATCTTTATGCATTCGATTTACTACTATATAAAAGGTTGAGCTCCTGGTGGGGCAATAGGTACTTTATCAGTATTCAAATATTTGTCTAATTCATTATTGTTCAATAGATTATCATCATCCTTATCATCAAATATTGATGCAAAATAACGATTTGCTAAAGTTATACCAGAAGAAGTGGTGGATTATACAGGTGTTACATCGATAATAATATTATTAAGTTTTTTACAGTATGCACTAATTGCTTCATTTTTAAAATAATTAGACAAAGCATGCATTTTTTTGAGCCTTGGGTCTAGTAGAGTTGCTAAAAGACTAGCATATCTTGGTTCACCCTAATATTTTCAAAGTGAATTGTAAATTGTTTGTTTAACTTAAGCAATTATTAATTGAACGTCACAAGTTTTTACCCCTGAACCTCTTCACTTTTACTATTGCTACTATTACTACCTATATTTGATTATAAAAGGTAAATAATAATATTTTATAGTAATGTAGTAGCGAATATAAAATAATAATTTATTATATTAATTACAGTATTCTTCATCAAAATCGTCTTCATTTAGAGTTAAATTTAGATTTTTTTTAAATTTAGACTTTAGAACTTTGATTATAGGATATACAACCGATAATATAGAATATTTTTCAGCACTGAATGCTTCAGTTGCTATTGCAAATAGTTCAAAAATTTTAACTAATTCTTCAACTAGTTTCCATTCATTTTTATCAAATAAGCATCATTTAAAGCTTGTCCATCTTTTTTATCATCCGGACTCTGTGAAATTTTTAAATTAGCCTCTAACCAGATTATTACATTTTTTAATTTTAATAATCTTTCCCAAGAACGATATGTAGAATTTCTATCATGTTGGACAATTCTTAATTAGATAAAGTGGTTTAGAAGTAGAATTTATATTTGATAGCTCTAAATCTGTATCTCCATTGTTAACTTCGCCAGCTTCTTCCTTCTCAAAATAAAATTCAGTATTTACCAAACTAGGCAAAGATAAATTATCTCTATCCATTACCTTTATTTGAGCCTTTTTTAATCTTTCTTGTTGTTTTGATGAATCAAAAAAATGTACCAATTTTCTTATTTTTTTGTTTGTGAGCAAATTTTTGTAGGGTGTAATTAACTATTAGCTACAAAGTATGCACAGCATATGGCAGCCAGGTAATATTATTCTGTAATCGAATAGCTTTTGCTATATCAGCACCATTATCAGTAATGGTGCATGTAATTTTATTTTCTAAATTGAATTCTAAGCATTTTTTTGAAAAAAAATGATATATAGATTCTGCAGTATGCAGGTATAGCATTTTTTCACAGCACAATAATATACTATACAATGATCAGTCAGAAGTTACCTAGTGACAAGTAACTCCAATATAGCCTTGTTTATTGCATGAAGTCCATAAGTCAGATGTTATTATAGCTGTCTTGCAAGTTGATAATATTTCATGCTGAAAAATCTTAATATTTTTTAAATAGTATAATGCTATTTCATTTTTTACTACTCTATCAGAAGGTAGACAAAACTTTAGATCAATTTTACCATTATTCGGCAAAATCCTTTTTTTCTTGGTACCAATAATGGTTCATTATCAAGAAGTATCTATTCAATAACTGCTCTATTTATTTCTTTTAGTTTATCATCTTTATATAGAATATTAAGTCGAATCAGGGCTGATAATGTAGTTTGTCAACCTTTTGGTATTTGTATTTCAGATTTTAGTTTTTGCTATCCACAATATTATACAATGATCTTAAATGAGCAATTATATTCGATATTGAACCGTTATAAATATATTCACTTCCACATTTTTTGTCTTTACCTTTTTTTTTTACTATAACTTTACAAATGTTTTTATCTCCAATTATATCGAAGTATTTCTACACAAAGCTTGTTTTACTTTTGTTTCTTTTTTTCTTAGTACTAGTTGTCATATTTGTAATAAAGAATGTATTATTATTATTTTCACTGTTGCTTTCATCAGTATATATATTTCTTTGAAGACTTGAGCTAGAATCTTAAGAATCTATTCTTAAGCATATATTTATAAACACATATTTTATAATAAAATTTAGAAAATAAATATTGTATTAGAAATTTGATTTATTAAATATGATGTGAAAATTGACTTGGAAGTCTATTATATGAAATTTCCAAAGATTTTATGATTACAAATACATAAAACTTTCAATCACAAAAATTTAAACAATTTTAAGTATAATTTATTAGAACGAAATTCAATTCAAATAAAATTCTTTATAAAAAGCAAATTCTGAAGATTTTGTTAAAAAGCAAAAAACACAGCTTAAATATATTCTTGCACCTATTCAATTTTATAAGATTTACTTTATTAACAATCTAAATTTTATGATTTTACTCTTATAATTTCCTGGACTACTGTTCTAAATTACACTGCCCATATGCAATTCATTCATACAACTATTTAAATCTTATATTTTACCTGACTTTTTTTTTATAATCCCTCAGATCACTTTGATTTTACTATAGATTCTCTTTTACAATACTTCTAACTTGTACTCCTCCCATATTATCAATTGACTATTGGATATATAGTCTAATAAAGTATATGCCCTTTCAAATTATGTTTCTCATGTTTACTCATTGGTTTTAAGAGCATAATCTATAAAAGCAATTCTATATCTTCAATGATCACACAATTTTCTAGCTTGCATCATTTTAACTACGATTATGTTTTTCACTTTGACCTGTTAGCTTTTAAAAAGTAATTCAATAATGGTAATTGATATATATATTCTATTTATGATTCCTCACGCCATTTCTAATTTCTTCTACAAAATAGTTTAAATTACACAATTATGTTCTTTATATTGATTCAGTTGGCATTGAAGGAATAATCTAAATAAAGTAAAAAAATTTAAATAAATAGCTAATTTAGGCAAAGTTTAGATTTTCTTGATATTACTAAAATTAGTCTTCAGCAGATAATGGCTAAGTAAAGAAAATTACCAAATCTGCTACTTATCTGCAAATTATATATACATATGTAGGTGCAAAAGAATTCTTAATATAGAAAATTTATTGCTTTAGAGAATTCTAAATATGAAACTTTATGTCAAAATTAATTAGAGAAGTATTTGATTGCTAATTCATTACCTAATAAGGTAAAATAATCAACATCACATAAGAAATTGCAACATGCATTTAATTAAAATAAAATTCATAATTGTAAATGCCAAAACTGATTCTTATATGTATAATAAACTATGAGTAATATGACTTATAAAAGTGTTAGTTTACTTGCGGAAAGCAAAATATGTCCAAAACTACATTATGGCCCTATGCTTGTGATTAGTGATCATCCAGATCATCTAATAACAATGTTTCTGTTTCTGTTCTATATTGACTTCATATGCACATTAATATTGTACTTAACTAACAACAATTTTTTATAAAAGTAGTTCAAGGTGAAGAAAATAAATTGCAACCTGGCTTTATTTGTATTAGTGGTAATGAAACAAGTAAGGTTTGTTTAACGCCTTTCCAGACTGTTAATAATGTATATCATATTATTTTTGGAAAGAAAACAGTATATTCAGGACCTGTAATTCTCGGGTTTAATGATGAAAAAGTAGTCAAAAAATTATTAGCCGGAATAGTATTTAGGTCTATTTTTTTAAATATAGAAAAACATATTATAGTGGTATCAAAAATCAAAGATCAAAAATTTATATCATCAGTGTTAACAAAAAAGAGCCAAAAAACTCTCGCTTTACAAAAAATAAACCATAATGTCTTTACTTTAGATTTCTATAAAGGCAAACAAATATTATGGTATTATGAGGATCAGTCAGCTAATAATGTATAAGCTCAAGCTGGAATTGCAATATATCTTGATAGTGAATCGCTTTATAGTTTTAATCACCCTAGTGTACAACATATATTTCAAACAAATTTAGCTAATTCTTATATAACTTGCACTTCAAAAAACTAGAATGATTCTTATATAATGGAAAATATATTTGAACAACAAATAAAATGTCAAAAAATAGCAACTAATCTATTAGAAACCTGGCAAAATTTGTTTAATACTTGAATAAGTCAAGAAAATACAATAATTGAGTTTAATTATGCACTTTCTATAATATACCCATCTACTTATGAATTGAATAAGAATGAATTTTGAGCTTGAAGAAATATGTTATCTTCATATGGATGTACTAATATAATACTATATCCCAAATTTGAATATAAAGAAGAATTTTGGAGTTGATTAAAAGATCCAACTACTGACAAAGCTAATTTGAAAATGTTATATGAACTTAGGTACTTACAATTGAAATCTAGAGATTCAGAAAGCTCAGAAAATGCAGAAAACTCAGAAGATTTAGAAGAAAGCATATTCTGAAATAGTTTTCAAAATGCTTTGATAGTTAATAAACATGGTCAAAATAGAAAAACATGAATTTTATCCATTATAGCAGATCAATTTACTTATAAACAACTTAGAAAAAACTTCAGGTTGGTTTAAAACTAAAATAAGATTACTAACAAAATTTCTTACTACATAAAAATCCAGACAAAACATTATTTTCTGACTTAGTTTATTTGTCAAAAAATCAAATAATGGAGAAAAAAGAAATAAAAATAAATAGATAATAAAAATAAAAATAATAATGACTGAAGAAAAAATAAATAAATAAATAAATAAGAAGAAAGTTTAGTCAACGTATATAGCTATTAGCTATTGAAAATTCTAAAGTAGTTAGT